ACTCAAAGTTTGGAAAACTTCTCGTAAGAATCAATCGTCAAAAACCTCGATTGCAGTTATATTCATTGTGTTAAAATTTGATTTTTTGAAATTTTTTATAAATTAAATTTTTATATAACATAAAGCGTTATGAATTAGTATTTCCATATGAATTTTATCTCGAAAATAGTAATTCTGTACAGTTATATTTCGGTTAATTTTGGAAATTTCTAGGAATACTTTAAGATAGTATGATTATATATAACTCTGCCTTCATGATTTATTTTAGCTTTCGCGCAAATATCAGTTAACTTAACTCCATTATTTGATTTTGTGATGGCTTCACAAAGCCAATCAATATCAATCTCTTCTGGAGAATGTCTTCTCATCTAGAATATTTTCAATACTTTACATACAAACATTTTTATTTCTAAAAAACTTTTTAATTTTTTCTAGGATATATGAATGAAAATAGTTAGAACAAGATTTTGAAGCTCAAAACATTAAAATTATTAAAGATTTGTATAATATGATTAAAAATGGGAAATAATATGAGGCAATATAAAGGAATATGAATATTAAATAAATATATCTAAATAGAAAGAATCAGAAAAATCAAATTATTGGCGCCAAAAATGTCACTTTTTTGTGAGCCATTTCGGTATGAGATAATTAAAGACCGAAATAACAAAAGTGTCTCTGTCTTTAAAGAATTTGGCGTCTCTCATCTTGAAAGATTCGATCCAGGTCATGTATCAAAAAATATCTCAAAAGATTTTACAAAGTTCTCAGCTTCTCATAATACAGTTGAAGTTTTCAACGACAAGACTCAGAAGATTGAAAAAATAGAGAGACCTTTCTGGGGTCTGAATGCAAGCCTAAGTATGTGGCTTTGGTCATGTTTTGCCGAAGAAAATATTGACAAACGTACGAAAATATGGGAGGATTGTGTCTACCATTACGTAGGCAATCATTCTTTTTGCGAACCGCACAATTACAAATGCTTTGAATGGCAAAAAGGTGTCAATTCGATCCAACTTCAATTCATGCTCTATGACTGGGTTCACAAGTGGACACCCATAGTTTCCAAAGTTTCTTCCATTGGATCTACCTGCATGAATGAAGCGTTTAACTCCAAAATTGCATGCTATTTGGACAAATCAAGAGCCTGGAAGAACATTAACATTAGAGTTAACGTTGCAATCTTAGAATGGAATGATCCAGAGCATTTTCTCGGAGATATACAAAAAGCATTACATCTTCCCCCACTTCCAGAAGATTGTGTCAAACCATTTGAAGAGAATTGTTACTCCAAAATGATATTGAAACAAAAAACTGTTACAAAAGGTTCTAAAAAACAGAACAAATACAAAAAATCCATTCAGAGTGTACCAGGAGGAGATTATCAAGTTTTCAAGTCCGAATGGGAATCAGAAGACGAAGACATTGATGACTTTGATTAACGAAAATTACATTTTATTTATTGTTTTTGTTTTTAATTAAATTATTATTATGCTCATTTTCTTATTTTGATTTTTTCTCATTATGATATAAATAATTTATTAATGCATTTATCCAATAATTATGCTATGATATTTTTATGCCTTATTTCATTTCTCTTATATTTGATAATCTGGTAAAATATAGTTCAGACTATAATCATTTTAGATTATTGATATATTTATATAGGTTAGAATAAAATTAGTTTCATTTTCTACTTTTATTTTGAATTAATAATTTATAATATCAAATATTATGGCGTAACCTCTCCTTTAAAATATAGATATATATAGGCCTATAGAGTTTATTGGCACTCTCAAAACTCTAGAATTTTGAGTTTACTATACCCTTAACAATTTCATAAAAATGATAATTAAATCCGGATAATCACTAAATAGATTTATTAACATATTTTGAATGGGTATTGTTATCAACCTAAGCCTTGCCTATAATCGATAATATTAAAAATATAATCGAAAATTTTGAGGCTCCGCTGCCGCTCCGCCTAAAGATTTTCGATTATATTGGAATTCTTTTTCCTTCAAAATAGTGATGTACTTTTGGAAGATAATCGATGATTTTTGCAAAATGTTATTCACTTTTGCGGTTTGGAATTTTTGGGAGGGAACAGGACAAATTTGCCACACGGCACTTTTTAAAAAAATTAATGGAGCGGAGCGATACTCTGCTGCAGGAGCCCCAAGGCTCCCAATCATTACGAAAGGGAGCCTCAGGGCTCCTGAGAATCCATCAGCAGAGGCCTTTTCATTTGGCCTCTGCTGATCAAAGATTCGGCGAAGCCATTCTTCGTCTCAGGAGCCCCAAGGCTCCCAATCATTACGAAAGGGAGCCTCAGGGCTCCTGAGAAACCTCTTTGAGAAGGTTTTCTTTAAGAAAACCTTCTCAAAGATGATTGTCAGCATTCACTCAAAATCTACCAAGAGTTTCAAAGTTTCAAATCTATCTGAAATGAAGCTTTGAATCTCTTGTATATCTAATTGTAGAGGTACCTTTTCAAAATGTCTTCTATTGATTAAATTTAATCAGTAAAAGTCATTTTGAAAAGGTACATCTCTATAATTGCTATTGAGCATTCACTCTTGGAACCTTGGAGCTCTTGTGTAGTGCATGAAAATTCCAAGATTCTAGCATAAAACATATATCATAGACATAATTTCTTCTGTAATAAACAGAAATTCATCAAAAGTGACAGCTCTCAATTTTTTGACATTTGTAAATTCTAAATTGAATGAGAAAAATGAAATAATACTAAGCATAATACAATATTCTAGATTTAATTATAATTAGGAAAAAGTTAGTTTTGAGAGTACTTTTCATAGGCATATAGAATGAAATCTTCTGAAAAATAATATCACATAAACTCATATTATTTTCTAATATATAACTATTTTATATAAAAATCAAATTCAATGATCTTAAAAGCGAAGGATAAACCTCAAAATTTACGAATATAATGAGTGGGAATATAATGCTTATCTATCATAAAACCATATGAAATATCAATTTTTGCTTTACGCCTAATTTTGACGACAATTAGCAAAAAATGTTAAATGTTAACACTCAGTCCATTTGAATATGAAAAATAAAATTGACTTTGATTAAATGTTTTTATTTATCATGCAATTCTTCTTGCGACCAAAGATTTGAATCAAATTTCAAAAAATAAGATAGCTTAAAAAATAATATACGGTAGTGTTTACTAATAGATGAATAGTATATAAATTCTATTAAAATGGATTTGATCCAAAAAAATATATAAAATTTGATCATAAATAAAATCGTTTTAAATTACTTCTTCATTTAAATTATAACAATTATTTTTGGTTTTATATTTTTTTGGATCAAATCCATTTTAATAGAATTTATATACTATTCATCTATTAGTAAACACTACCGTATATTATTTTTTAAGCTATCTTATTTTTTGAAATTTGATTCAAATCTTTGGTCGCAAGAAGAATTGCATGATAAATAAAAACATTTAATCAAAGTCAATTTTATTTTTCATATTCAAATGGACTGAGTGTTAACATTTAACATTTTTTGCTAATTGTCGTCAAAAATTAGGCGTAAAGCAAAAATTAATATTTCATATGGTTTTATGATAGATAAGCATTATATTCCCACTCATTATATTCGTAAATTTTGAGGTTTATCCTTCGCTTTTAAGATCATTGAATTTGATTTTTATATAAAATAGTTATATATTAGAAAATAATATGAGTTTATGTGATATTATTTTTCAGAAGATTTTGTGTTCTTCTTCAAAATTTTATTTTTTTATTAAAAAGAATCTTTACAAAATATACATTTACTTTAATTAATATTTAAAAACGTGCTCTATCAAAAGTTCCAAAAATTCAATATTTTAGCTTTTCTGAGGTGTCACTTTTGATGAATTTCTGTTTACAACACTTCAAATATAATTTAAGGTTATTTTTAAAAATCAGAAAAGCGTAATTTAAGGTTATTGAAAAAGTGACACTTGGCAAATTTGTCCCGCACTCTTTTTGGGAGACTCCCTTCGGTTGCCTCCAAAAAATTCCAAACCGCAAAAAAGCTGAAAATCACTTTAGCATAGTATTGACTGAAGAAAAAATTTAAATGCTTACTTTAATTTTTTTTGTCGTCATCACTATTCCAAAATCTAAAGAGTCCTCTAGGGTTGCAATCTTGGAAGAAAAGTGCGGAATTTCCAGACTCCAAAAAATAATCTTCTTTTAGACGATTAAAAAATATTTTTTTACTATAAAATTTGCCAAATCAAACATTTTTGGATTTTTTACTCCATTAGATGCATTAAGAAATTACAATTAAATTTTATTTTGGTCTCAAAATCACAGATTTTACTAATATCCTTGTAACTGTTTTATTTGATTCTTCTATCAATAAAAGAATCTAATAGTATTGATTTAGAATCTCTATTTTTCATCAAATTATTCTAAATCTTTTTTGATCTGTTAATATATTTCTATTAATTTCTATCTCAGATCAATATAAAACCCCAATAGATTCTAATTTCATTGTTAACAAGTCTTTTTAAGTTTATTAGATTTATGCATTTTATTGTTATAGGAATGGATCTTCTCTGCTCTAATGTTGAAATATTGCAGCTATATATTTTTATTTTGTTTAGATTTATGGTGTTTTATGAATATATATATATATTTAAATTTAAATTAAATGTTTATTACTTAAATGTTTCTTCATTTTTCTTTTAATTTTCCTTGTTTTGTGATGTAATAAACATCATAACATTTCTTTCCAACTCTTGAACCTTCTCAAAGAACAACTCAGGATCAATGCCATGCTCGTCGACAACTTCCAATACGAATTTGAGATTTTTCATAATCTCTTGGCGAAGGAAATCAGCGTCAATTATCCTTTGTTCCTTGGATTTTTATAATAAATAGACAACTGCCTTACTTTTGTCATTGTTGAAAGCATTGACCCTGATCAAGAACGATGAAATTACTCTTGCCATTATGTTAAGGAAGAAGTCATCGATCCTCATATGTTTTTTGCCCAAAAAGAAGGAATACTTCAATTGCTTGAAATGCGATTCTGCCATTATTGGTGGAATCTCCTCCATTCCTGTACTGCGCCATCCAAAGATGAAGGTATGGCTTCCATTGCTTGTCAAAATAGATCTGTGCTTGTGGTTCTTCGCCGAAAATTTCGCAAATATTGTCGTAAGCAGCCTGAGATTCATGAGCATCAGATGTTCTGAATACAAGGAAATCCATAAGAAGATAAAAGTTAAAAAATTTTCGGTGGAGAGGAATTTCTGTTGGGTTTTTGGCTTTGAAATTGCAGGAACGACATGGATCCCGCACCAATCAAGCACAGTCTGCGCTTAAATGAGTGGGCCCATGATTAAGCCACTGAAAATACATCACCAAAAAATACTGGAAATTGTTTGCGGTATCGGGGAAGCAAAGAAAATAAAAAAGTGTGATTTTGAGACCAAAATAAAATTTATTTGTTGTAGTCTTTAAAAAAAGAATGAAAAATGTTTCAATTGAAGAAGAAGTTTTTTTAAAGGAAAATGATTTTTAGGTAAAACCATTTATAATCATATAATGAACATAAATCATTTGAAAACCATTGAAAATTTTGAAAACGAGGGATTTGTTCTGGAAGATAATTTGAATGGTTTATTTTATTCCGTGCCCCAAGAAGTTGGCCAAATTTTAAAGAAAATGTATATTATCATGTTTCTTGATGTTTATGTTTAAAGCATCACAAATAATTCACAATAGATTCAATTTTTACTTCATTTTTCTAAAAGATTGGCTAGGATTCTTCATGGCCAAATATTTGAAAAACATATTTGTAAATACAAATGATCCGGATTATAAATTACAAATGTCTTGACTGAATGTCAGAGGCTTGGCTTGACACCAGTTGGCTTTATTGGTGACAATTTGAGAGTTCAGTTCTCTGCATTTAACACATTTGCAGAAAGATGCAATAATATAGCAATGTCATGCGGCTGTCATACACTTAATTTAGCCTTGACAGACATACGCAGGGAAAACGACGAGTTTGAACATTTATGCGCTATTGTGGAGATTGTTGCTCACTTATTCAACAAAAAACCCATTAAAACGTACTTCTACTACTCCATACCCCTTCCAGTAGACACAAGATGGGTCATATTCTTTGATGTTTCATTGTGGATTGTACAACATACTAAAGAAATTCTTCAGTTTCTTCAGCATCCACAGGTGCCAAACATCAAAGCATTGCACAAATATATACCCATGATCCTGGAAGTTGTCTTCGAAGCAGCACCGAAATTAGTTATGCTGCTTCTTCCAATCAAGCTTCTAATGAACGTGTTCGAAACGGATAACTCCTCAACCACCCAAACCACCTCCACCTCCTCCACTCACCAACCACCCAAACCACCATACCCCAACTCCCAACTCCTCAACCACCCAAACCACCTCCACCTCCTCCACTCACCAACCACCCAACACCCCTCCCAACTCCCATCTCAACCACCCAACACCCCTCCATATCCCTTCACTCACCAACCACCCAACACCCCTCCCAACTCCCATCTCAACCACCCAACACCCCTCCCATATCCCTTCACTCACCAACCACCCAACACCCCTCCCAACTCCCATCTCAACCACCCAAACCACCTCCACCTCCTCCACTCCTCAACCACCCAAACCACCTCCACCTCCTCCACTCACCAACCACCCAAACCACCTCCACCTCCTTCACTCACCAACCACCCAAACCACCTCCACCTCCTCCACTCACCAACCACCCAAACCACCATACCCCAACTCCCAACTCCTCAACCACCCAAACCACCTCCACCTCCTCCACTCACCAACCACCCAAACCACCATACCCCAACTCCCAACTCCCAACTCCTCAACCACCCAAACCACCTCCACCTCCTCCACTCACCAACCACCCAACACCCCTCCCAACTCCCATCTCAACCACCCAACACCCCTCCCATATCCCTTCACTCACCAACCACCCAACACCCCTCCCAACTCCCATCTCAACCACCCAACACCCCTCCCATATCCCTTCACTCACCAACCACCCAAACCACCTCCACCTCCTCCACTCCTCAACCACCCAAACCACCTCCACCTCCTTCACTCACCAACCACCCAAACCACCTCCACCTCCTCCACTCACCAACCACCCAAACCACCTCCACCTCCTTCACTCACCAACCACCCAAACCACCTCCACCTCCTCCACTCACCAACCACCCAAACCACCATACCCCAACTCCCAACTCCTCAACCACCCAAACCACCTCCACCTCCTCCACTCACCAACCACCCAAACCACCATACCCCAACTCCCAACTCCTCAACCACCCAAACCACCTCCACCTCCTCCACTCACCAACCACCCAAACCACCATACCCCAACTCCCAACTCCTCAACCACCCAAACCACCTCCACCTCCTTCACTCACCAACCACCCAAAACCTCAATCGTTGACATTTATCCTTATACACAATCCGCTATGCTCACTCTTGCCAGAATCGTTGATGGTCAGGAATATCTTATTCCGATTTCAGAAATTTATCTCTGTAATCAGAACGCTCGTAATAAAAGAGATCTTCTTTGTAATGCTAGTTAGTATCTAGTAATTGGGTACCAAGGGTCTACGCCCCTCGGAACCAAAATTACTAGAATTTACAAAAACCATTTGACACGTAAAATACATTTGACATTTACAAAAAATAAAAAAATAATTTTTTAAAAAATAAACTTAAAAATTAACGTTAAAATTTTTGACACTTTACAAAATAAAAAATAATTTTTTAAAAATAAACTTAAAAATTAACGTTAAAATTTTTGACACTTTACAAAATAAAAAATAATTTTAAAAAAATAAACTTTAAAAAATTAACGATAAAATTTTTGACACTTCACAAAATAAAAAAATAATTTTTTAAAAATAAACTTTAAAAAATTAACGTTAAATTTTTTGACACTTTACAAAATAAAAAATAATTTTTTAAAATAAACTTTAAAAAATTAACGTTAAAATTTTTTTATTTATTTTTTTATCATAGATTTTAACACCCAGAGTAAAAATAAAAAAATAATTTTTTTAAAATAAATTAACTCAAAAATTTTTTAATTTCTGTATATACTAAATTTTTCATAAATGATAAAATTAATTTTAGGGTAGAACTAACCCGATATCTAACCTCATTTCTAACCTTGTGAATTTTCAACAGTAAATATGCTGGCATGATTCAGGAATGTCATCGCTGCTGTCTTCAAACTCTTTTATAGATTCATACCATAAACGAGCTACGCGGCTTCATCTGATTTTTCGAATTCTTCTAATTTCTTCTTCAGTTCTGCTATGTTATCTTCATATAATTTAATCTTTCTTAATATTCCATCTTTATTTAATGGCTGCTTAATTTTTCTAAATTGAACTCTACCATCTTTCATTTGATGAACATAAAAACCTTCTGGAATAGTTCCTGATTTAATGTATTCAACTAAAAACTTTTGTTTTGTTGCTTCAGTAATTTTAGTACTCATTTTATTAAAAGTAAAAAATAAAAAATATTTTTAAAATTAACTTTATTTTTTATCGTCGTCTTTTCCTTAATTCCTGCGGATCAACTAGGTCGGTTGAAGGTCTATTACTTTCTTTATAGTGTTTATAAAGTTTATAAGCCGCCATATGATAAGGATAATTAAACCATAAATACACTTTACCTAAAGTTTTCAATCAATTATATAAATCATTATTGTTAGGCGTTTCAGGTGGTGCAGGGTATTCGAGAACATCTCTAACCATTTAATTACTTTAAAACTCTTGGTTTCTTTTTAGTTTTTAACAGTTTCTTTGCTTTTGCGATTTTAGCTAAAATATATCTTCGACCGTAATGGAACCAAGTAGTGTTGCATGCTAAGTTCGGTCAACGATAGAAATTGAGTGGAAATTAATCGTCGAGGAAGTACGATTATGTAAAGTAAAAAAATGTTGTGGGATTTTTAATATTATATATTATTTTATAATAAAAATTTTTTGAGTCATTTTAAGAAGCACATATAATTTTTTGAATTTAAAAATTAAAGTAGTGTCAAACGAATTTATCACTTAATTTAATACTCAGATTTCTTAAAATTAATGAAAAAAGGTTTTCTGAGAACTTTTGAGAATTGTTTTCAAATTCCATTATTGAAAATATATAGGTATTGTATGAAATTCAAACTCTATATTTATTAAAATTCTAAATTTTTAATAAAATAACTTTTCAGAGGAATATGATTTTGAATGGTTGATTAATAAGTATAAAAATGTCTACGATTTTAAGGAGGGAATTGTTCCTTATGAGGTATACATCATAACTATATACCTCATAAGGAACAATTCCCTCTTGATATCCTGGATATTTTTGAATATATTTTTTAATTAAAGTTCTCAAAAGTATTATCAAAAGTGATTTTTTAAAAATATCTCCAATTAATTAACTAATTAAAAGTATTATATTTTTAAAATTAAATAGTTTTTCAATTTTTTTGAAGGAATTGAGATACTTCCCACGACAATAAAATTGAGAGGTTTACATTATGACTGATCTTAGCATGCAACATTAGAACCTCCTGTTTTAGGGTCAAAAGGTCTTCCATAACCGCCAGGGTCATATGGTGCGACTGCAGTTACTGGCGCTGGTGATGGTGGTGGCGCAGGTGCTGAATTAATCGGCGGCGCCTCAATTGGTGGATATTCTGGCTGTTTCTCCTTTTCTTTAAGTGAATTTAATTTAAACTCTTCGCCATTCAACTGACCTTTAAAATCTTTTAGCTGCTTAGATATTTCATTATCTTCACCTAAAAGGTTTTGCGACTGGTCAGCAACCCAGTTACCTAATTTCTTTAACTTTTCAGATTTTAATTTTCTGGCAGCAGCTCCCACAAGCATTCCAGCATTATTTTTTAAAGCTTTTGATACAGCTCCACCAGTTAAACCGTCAATAGCTTTATAACCTCCATACAAAGCTGATAGTGTTGAAAATACCATTTAATGCTTATTAAAATCATTTCTCATAATAATTAACTCATAAAATTTTTCATCGGAGCTAAACGTTAATGAAACTCTGACTTTTTCACCACTGAACCTCTTTATTAGTTCATTAATTCTATCAATTATATTAGCACACTCACTTACATCATCAATGATAGTAATATCATCACAAATTATTTTTACATTTAACGACGTCATTTATTACAAATTAATTTCTTCTATTCTTTAAATAATTAATAAAAGACCTAATATGTGTGAGTGGTTCGCGGTTCCTTTCCTGTGTCGGGCTTGTTTGAATCGGTGTAGATTTTTCAGACCTGTTGGAATAAGATCAGCCCCGGCAGTTGAATTAATCGGTGTTCTATATAAATTTCTATATAAATATGGTCCCGCTACAGCACCCGCAGCTAATAAAAGACCTACAGGAATTACAATTCTATTATAGTTCCGCGGTTTAGGGTCTTCATCAAAACTAGCCCATGCGCTTTCAGTCGTTGAACTCATTTATATATAATTAAATTTTAATAAGCGATTAATATGAGTTCGATAATAATGCTATCTTTTCTGTCATCAGGAAGGACAATATCTTTTAGGCTCGATGGTTCAACTCATTTTATATTAAATTTATTAACATAATTAGTTATTGAATAATGCTTCGGCGGAGAATATAAACAGTTTGATAAACATAAAATAGAATCTTCAGCGAATTCACTTATACTTGATTTAATGATTGCCGCTTCTCTGGACCAAACACCATTAAATGAAATTGATGTTAATAAATAATCATCATTTTTAATGGAAATTGATTTTGGTAAGTACTCCAGGAGGTCATTTAATGTTATCTGTTCTGCTCCGAACCGAGCAAATCGATAAAAGCATTCATCATTATTAATTCCTGTAATCTCTTGAAAATTTTTATTCGTGTATACATTTTCAATCTCATCACCGACAGCGCTATCTTTTACATCAAATATGAAACCAGCTTTTGAGTTTGAATTAACACGAAATTCTATTGAATTAGTTTCAAAACTATAAAACATATCAACTTCATTAGGTTGAGGATATCCGGCACCTTTTAACTGTTCAATAAGAACCGATTTAATCTTTTTATTAAATGCTGTCATATCATCACCCGTGTCTAAATCTATATAAATCTGTAAATCATATTGATGATTATCTCTTATTATTCCAAAGTTATATAATTCAATGGTTCGTCCTGCAGGAATGGTTTTTATCTGTCTTATTTCAATTGCTTTTTCCCCAGTGTTATAGTCAACCCAGTGTTTAGGGTATTCATAAATGTATTCACCATTGATTATTTTAAACGGTTGTGAAAATATGTGCTCATAATAGATTTTAATACTTTTATCATTAAAACCGGGAACGGTATTAATAAAATTTCTGACTTGCATTTTTAATTATAATAAAATGAAACATTTATTTGAAGAAGTAGATGAAAAAATGAATGAAAAATCTGATAAACTCAATAGTTCATTAATTCTTCCCTTCAGTAAGGATTATCAGTTCTGTTCAAACGGTGTGTATTTCTATTGCGGAAAATGGGTTCGGGAAAGACTTTTAATTTAATTCGTCATATTTTAATTACTGAACGGTTAGGCTCTGATTCTTATTATGACCAAATCATTATATCAGCAACTTCAGATTCAATGGATTCAACAGCGAAGACGTTTATGAGTAAAGTTCAGGCATCAGTAATTAAAGTTCCAGATAGCGAATTAATTTCTTTTCTTCAACGATATATAAGAAGAAAGAAGAAATATTATGCAATAGTTGAATTCATACAATCTGGCATGCAAAAGACCTCGGAAGAAATGGAAAGAATTATTGATAAATATCATTTGAGACAGCAGGATGGTTCATATGATATGAAACAATTGACAAACTACATTCTCTCAAAACTTTCAAAATATCCTTTTAAAAAATATCCATCAAACACTTTATTAGTTTGTGATGATTTCGCTGGTAAAGGTTTAGTTTCAAAACCAGATTCACCATTAGCTAATTTAATAACGAAAGTCAGACATTACCACATGACTGTTGCAATACTTATGCAGACGTGGAGGTTTTTAGCTTTAAACATTAAACGTCTCATTACTGATTTCGTTATATTTCAAGGTTTCTCAAAATACGATATAGAATTAATTTGGAAGCAATCAGGTATAACATTACCTTTTGATGAAATCTGGGATGCTTATAAATCACTCATTTCACCACGTTCATATTTAGAAATTCATATAATGACTAATACAATTAATGTTAAAAATATACCTTGGGAAAGACCAACATTATTTTAAAGCTTTATTTTTAGATGAGGTGTTGTGAATAGATTCCATCCATCTCTATCACCATTTCTGTTTATATTTTTGGTGTCATTCATGTCCACACTTTCTGGATTAGTTAGTTTTTGAGGATAAAAATTAGAATAACTGTTTTTAATCGATGGTGCTTCACCTTTTAACGCATAAACTCTATTACTTTCTGCATCTTTATAAACTGCGCCCGTTTCAGTGAATTCAACAAGATTTTCATTTTCAAGTTTCACGTTTAAACCTTTATCAAAGATATTATTCATTTTTATAGTAATAAAAGGTTTTTATTATCTAGAAAATGAGAAGTAAATCCATCTTAGCCGGTGCAGTGAATGTTCCTATTGAACCGACGTCGAATGTTGATTCAAGAACGACAAATAATATTATAATCAAAAATTACAACTCCGAAAACTTGAAAGATAAAGAACCAGAACTTAAGTCGGTTAATTTAAACACAGCTTCAAACGCAAACGCTAACAGTGAAGTAAAGTTAGAATATCCACCTCCATTAGAGCCCATAATTTCATGTGAAGCTCAAGATAACCCATATTCAACTATTCAAACAAATCCTTCAGATAACGTAGACCATTCCCTCCTTAATTTATACCAAACAATATTACTCAAAGACGATAAGAAGCTTTTGACAAATCTTATTAGTAAGAATCAAATAATTTTAACAAAGGAGGATTTAGAAAATGTTATATCAAGAATAACAGGGAAACAGTGCGTTATTGATTATCTCGACCCCAAAATCGAATGTTGCGGTCAAATACCAGTATTCATGAAAATCGGTAATATTAGAATAATCGAAACACCAGGAACTACAGGAGTTGAGTTTAAGTATAAATATTCGAATGAATATACAAAACTTTCAACAGAATATAAACTCTGCTTGAAATATGTTTTAACGAATTAATTTAAGATTTATATTTTTATATCTGGTTCATCATCTAGTCCATTAGCTCTTATATTAGACCAAAAATCAACTTCTAGAGTCATCTGCACAGGAGCTTTAATTTCAATTGGTTCGCCTTGAAAATCTACTAATCTAAATGTCATATCTTTTAAATGGTGTGGTTGAATTCGAACCCATTTTCCTTCGTGCCTTAATAAAATCGGGAAATTAGGCATGAATACATAATTAACGGCGTAACAGAACAATTTATATTCTATAACAGAATTTTTATTATTAACTTCTGAAATTCCTGTTACATTACTTATTTTTGATTCAACATATAAACAGTTTCCAGAACATATGTAGGGTGCAGATTTCATTTCAATTATATATTTCTGATTTTCAATAGAAGATTTTAATGGTAATTCTTGATGATAAGCACCTAATAATAAACGTGCTCGATGAGTCATATCAGTAATTTTAAATTCTTTTTCGGAACTAAATTTTATAATTCCTGAATCAGTTAATTCACAGTTAATTCCTCCATTAAATTTTTCATCAATGAGATCCTGAATCTTTTTCTCTAACGTATCAATATCATATTTATTTCTTGCTTTAAAATGAATTTCAGTTCTAATACCATCAATTTCAAATGTAATGAAATCGTTAGTATCTGTTATAACAAATGAAGCGATTGTGCTAAAATCAAGAACTCTGAAAGCTAGTGGTTCATTCTGAAGACCAAGGTTAGTTTGTAATTTTAATGTCCCGTAATCATTAGGATCAGTACTTTGCAAATAGAACAACATTTTTATTATAATTAAAAATATGAGTATATCCGCATATTCTTATGAAGCTGATAGGGCGAAAAGATTAATTTTTGGTTCATACACGTTTTCATTTGAATGATGAGCATTTAATAATCACTGACGGAAAAACTGAACATTATATCTCATGGAAAGAATATGAAAAATTCATTCCAATATTAACGCCATGCACAATGCCTTTCATAAAGGATGGTGAAATTATTGAAAAAGATAATACAACGGTTTATAGGTCTGTTTATGAAGCATTAGAATATATGTTGAATTATAATCCCGAAAGATTTGACCCAAGCACTACGCCATGTGCAATGCCCTTTATTAAGGATGGTGAAATTGTAAGGGTTCCGAATTCAACGGTTTATACAGCTGTTCAAAACAGTTTACAAAACATTTTAGCGAATATCTTTAATTCAGAAACTACAGAAATAAAATTACCGTATATAACAGATGCTAAAGAAATTAAATCAAAAACAACAACATTATTTGCATCACTTAATGATTTAATGACTTATATAATTAATACTCCCCAGCCGACTACGGCATTTGATCCAAACTCGACGGTTTGCAGCGTACCTTTCATTAAGTCGCAAAGCGACCAGGGCGAAGCCAACGATGCTTCAGTAATTGAATTAAGGGATTCAACAGTAAATGAATCATTAAAGGCTTCATTAATGAAAATCATTGATTTTAACTCATTCATGAATACATATAATTCATTCATTAATGTTTCATACACTTCTAAAGAAGGTGAGCCAAAAACTATTGATAAAGCGGTGTATGAAATAAAAGCATCAATGACGAAATTGAATTCGTTAACTTTTGACGGTGATAGTTCCGTTAACAGCATGACATCAGGAAAAACGATTTTAACCAAAGAATATTTAAAATCTCATGTTAGTGAGTTCGTTGAAATTGAAAAAGAAGGTGGAATTAAGTTCGATCCACTGGGTTTCATTTTCGACTTAGCGAATGCGGGTGTTAGTTTTGCAGAATGGACAACTATACAGAGTGAGATAAATGCAATATGGACGTTTTTGGGGTCAAAAGCGGGAATGGGAGAGCTTGTAGATGCTGCAAGAACATTAGGTGAAACGGGAAATTTTGTAGATGGTTTTAAGAGACTTGTTTCAAATGTTTTAACAAACACAAAGAAATTATTTAGATATACCGTACATAACGGACAGATTTTCGAACAGGTAGCAACAAACCCTCCGGTTATGGCTGCGTTGATGATGGCTAGAGACATAAACGAAGAGGAAGAAACAGGAGAACCAAAGGATACGGGTCAGGTTATTCGAGACATTAAAAACGTGTATCCTGAAGTTATTGATTTATTTAGAGGTGTTAATGATTCGATTTCAAATCATTCTATAACCCTTGATGAAGAGAATAAATTAACAGATTATATATTCGTCATTATTGCAGAACTAATGAAGAGAATAAATGAAAAAGGTATTGATGATATAATTAATGTCAGCGATGTAATGATGAAACGAAATTTTGACTCATTATTTACAGAACCGAAAACAGAATATAGTCTTTATGATGTAATTACTGAATTAATGAAAAAGATTAATGATAATAAGAGTTCTGGCGGAAGAGTTGAATTAGAAGTGAATGATGTTAATGAGAAATTAGATAATAAAGCAGATAAAGACCATATTCATTATATAAGTTCAGATGAACAGATTAGAGATGTGAAAACTTAAATTTTATAATCCCTGGGATGCACTTTCTTCGATTTTTTTTAAATTTTTGGGATAAATTTTGACATCTTTTTTTTGCTGGCGACCTCCCCCCGTTCACAAAAAAAATATCGAGCGAAGGGGGGTCGCCAGCAAAAATCGAAAATTTTTTTGGTGAACGGGGGGTTGCCAGCGAGAACCTTAAAAATAAACTTCAGAAAAAAATCTAAAAAGAAAAAAAGCGAAAAGGCCCCGGAGTCGAACTGGGGAACTTAAGGCTTATACTATGACTCTTACCACTGAACTATATTATCTGTGGATCGGTGCTTTATAAATTGTAAATATAAAGATTATCATAACGAATTAAAATGTAAAATAATAAATATTACTCTTATATATTATTAGATTTTAAATTACAAAATAATAATAACAAAAAAAATATTCATGACCGGAGGTTTTAATTAATGTTTAATGAAAGAGAACGATTCATTATAAATTATTGAATGTTAAATTGTTGTAAAAACACATTGAAATATTTGTGAAGAAAATGGCTATTTAATATTGAAAAATAAATAATAACAAAATGTTTATTTCATTTAGTTGCCATTAAGATATGACGGCTATTTAACAAGTTTTTCTTGGATCTTAACCGCCTAACGTTCAAAACTAACCTTTGTGCTTTGATATTACGTTCACATGTTGCCTCCGAAGGAGATGAACATAACAAGCGTAATGCTATTTCCGCAAGGATGGATTTTTCTCCAATTCTATGCGAGATCTCTTCCCAAGCATAATTTTGTGCCTGTCCATCAGATCGTTCAATCATGTCTGAGATGTCTGATTCTTATTGATGAACGTATTATATAACGAGAGTACAAGCGTTTTTTGTCTTTCGTTCAATCGGAATTGAACCAAAATGCGCTTGAGGTAATCATTAGCTGCTGTTAGATCATTTTCGGCAGTCTGATGATTATCCTCGCGTACATCTTGCAATGTAAGCCTAAGTTGATCATCAGATTCGACAATTCTACGAAATGTGCCTTCATCTGTTACATCAATTACAGCGTTGTGTTACCTTCCTCAAAAATAGAATCCATGTAAATGTCCTGTAAATCTTCTGCCGGATCTTTATCAGGAATATGCTCACTTTGAAAGGAACTCAAGGGATCGGCCAAATCTTCTACTTCTTCGTTTTTAACAAACTTTCTATGGAAGTAGAACCTTCCTCTCGGCGTGAGAGAGAATGCCAAACACCATAGCCCACCAAAGTCAGAGTCCAAGGTATAGCTATCCAATGAAGATGCCAAGATGGATCCGAATGCATTATGCAAATTGGATGTCAAAAGATTGAGAGCTGATATGGCTTTACGAAGCCAAATGTAACAATTTGCCAACAATGCCTTATCCGATTCGAATACTAAGATTAGCTTTTTAAGAACAGCTAAACAATCTTTCAATTGTACGATTTTATCGTGATCTACATTTATATATTGCTTGATTTTGTTTTCGTACTTAAGAATAAAGACACATATATTATAGTCATATATCCATCTGGTGGATACATGCTGTGGACATTGTGCACCTATATCGTCAGCATGAATGCGACAAAGTTCTGCAATTCTGTGCACATCCTTTACTAAACTTTGTAACTGGTTGTTCTTGCCAGCAATATATTGATAGCTGTTGTGGATTCTGTGACACAAACAGGGAATAAGCAATATCTTGTAGTATTTTGGATCTCTGTCATGATAGAATGAATCATTCCAAGTATCTTTGAAGCATTTTAACTGTGCTGGTCCTCCGTCAACTACCACACTACCTATCTTGACTTTCCTAATGTCAATTCTGTTAAATCCTGCTGTTATTGCGGATTTATAATCCTGACTTGTCTGGCCATCCTTCATATCTATCGCCTCTACTGGGTATGGCTTCATTTGCTCCAACGGATTTGTTAAGACAAAATCAAGATTGTGGTAATGAGGGTGGGGGGCTTCATCGATGGCGACACAAGTGTATGCTTTTTTTGGCGAATTCGAGAACTTTAGCAAGGTGTATGCTGTTAGCAATAGCAATCATTCTATTTCGGATCTCATCACGTGTAATAGGCTTATATAATTTGTCAGCAAGTTTTTCCGGATTGATATTAGCTGACTGAAGTTGTTTGTATTTGTTCATCATTTGATATATTGTGAACATAATGAAAATCTTTGCAACATGCGTGAATTCTGGGGATGCAAATGTGTCTAAGGCAAGGTTGAACTTACCGGTAAAAATGGTCATTTCATCGTATACATTCGATAAATCCAACATTGGATCATTTGGCTGTTTACCTTTATTGTAGTAGTCAAGTAATGTTTGCTGCGATAATGCTTCTCCGGCCTGGCATGTGTGAACATGAGTCTTAAGCCAGTTTTTATAATGATCCTCCCTTTGTTCTTGCATTGAACACCGGCAAACTACACCATCAGATCGTGTCACAAGTTCATTGCATTTAACATACCACTTGGGACTACCTTCATGTTTATATCGCATGTAAACATGTTGTTTCGTTTCAAGATCGGGATATGTTGTGAACCCGACTTCTTTCATTAATGAAGTGATTTCTTAAGTTGAATAAAAACAAATTTGATTGAAATTCATACAAAATTTCTTTTTATCATTATTGTTTAAGATGCTTTTTTATGTTGAATTGTTAATTTTTTTATTTCCACCTGGGATATTTTGAATTGGGCTAGCCCAATCCCACCTCTCAATTTTCTCTCAATTGGGCAATGGGGATCCCATATAAAATGTATTGTAACAAAATTTTACATGCATAATATAGTACAATTAAACAACATTCTAAAAATATTAAATTCACATCATTTACTTGAAGATTTTATATTTTCAACAAAAATTAATACAATAATTACATTAAATTGAGGAGATTTATAATATTTATTATAAATTAAAATATTATTACTCATTAATTTGTTGAAATATTGCATTTTAGTAGTAAAAATTAAAATTTAAGTTTACATGGAGAAAAAAATTTTAAATTCCAAAAAAAATTCAATTGGGATAACGATAGGGACAAAAATTTAGAATCCCCATATGCTTGGGATAAAATCACATGACTAAACAGATTATAACGGATTATCATGGATATTTAACACAGGATGAAGAAGTGAATACGGAAGATGTTAATGAAAGAAGATATAAATTCATTCGTGCTGAAGGTTATGACATAAGATGTGTTATAAATTATGATACAACAGGTAAAGCACCAGAAGCATTTGATTATAACGATGAAATTTTGCTTCATACTTCTTTGTTAACGATGTATTAGTTGAACCAAGATTTACTTTGATGGTTAAGTCAAAAATAACTGTTGAAGATGCGATTAAAAATAAAGCTGATGTAAATCATATGCATCCTGAGTTAAATCAAGAAATAGTAAACTTAAGGCGTGATTTAATAACAGAACATAACGACATAAATTCACTTCAAACTTCTTTAGACAGTAAAGCAGACATGAACCATACACATAACTCCTTCACAACTGTTAGAGCAGACGACATAATACTGAACTTTGACCTTGGTTCAAGTGCACCTTTAGAAAATCCAAGCACTAGCGTAAAAGACACGCTTAACAGTTTAGATAGTAAATGTACGAATATCGAAGGTCATGTCAAAAACTTTGAAACATATGAACTACCAGCCCTTTTAGATAAAAAAGCAGATAAAGAACATACACATGAATTCTTCACAACTATTAGAGCTGATGAGATAATATTGAATTGGGCTATTGCTTCATCAAGCATGCGTGATGAAGATATGTGCACTAACCTAAGAGATATGGTTGTTGATTTAGCCAATAAAACCGACAAAATATATGTAGATGAAGAATTAAATCGTTATGATACAAAAGCATTGAGTTATACAGAAGAAGCAAAGGAATGGGTAGATGAAAATTATGTGAAGAAGTCAGAAGTAAATGATGCAGTTAATGGTAAAATAAATGAAAGATTTTCGAACATAGATTCATTAATAGTTAATGACATTCAATTACACCATCAGTTACCGGGTCAAAAGAATGCGGAATATAATAATCTCACTAACATTCTCGATGGTTTCGATGAATTTAGAACTAATGCAACAAATGCTATTGCAAGTATGAAGAATTAAATATTACAAACTATATATCCTGTTGGTTCTTTATATACATCAATGAATTCAACAAATCCGGCAAGTGTTTTAGGTTTTGGTACATGGCAGCAGATTGTAGATAAATTCTTATACTGTGCTAATTCATCAAATCAAACGGGTGGTTCAAAGAAAATTACTGAAGCGAATCTTCCACCACATAAGCATACAGGAACTACAAGTGATTCTGGAGACCATCAACATACTATTGATCGTAGTTTCTTAAATCAATGACAAAAAGATTATAACAGCGATAATGTTTATTCTCCAACAGAATATACATCAAAAGTAGTTAATCACAAAACAACATGGAATGGTAATCATTCACACACTTTCACAACAAATACAATTGGTTCGGGTGCAGATTATATGCCTCCTTATATGACAGTTTATGCATGGGTTAGAACAGCATGAAATTTACTAAATTTATTTTTACATAAATGAGCTTAAAAGAAGTTTTCGAATCATCACCGTGGAGGTCATTTAAAAAATTCTATGAAGCTGCAAAGAATGCGGGATTTAATGATAGAACAGAAATTAAGAGATTTTATGATGAAAATATAGTTCATCAGGTTAAAGTTAATCCATACGACTACTACCTCCCAATTTATTCTAAAACCCATGATGCATATCAATTTGATACACTCGTTCAGAGTAAGAAAGGAAGAAAGCCACCATTTTTGATTTTCATTAATGTTAATACTCGAAAAGCTTTTGCGTATATAATGAAAAATAAAGGAACAAAAGAAGTTTTAAGAGTTTTGCAGACGTTCGTGGCAGAACATCATCCCACTTCATTAACTTCAAATCAGGATTCAGCATACCTCAGTAATGAAATTACAGAATTTTTGATTAAACATAACGTTACTCATTACACGACTGAAGACCATAACCATAATATTTTAGGTATCATTAATCGTTTCATTCGAACGCTCAGAGATTTAAATAAAGAAAGAGATTTTACGGAGGAATCAATGAATAAAGTCATTAATGCTTATAATAAATCAACTCATAACAGCACAGGATTTAAACCAAACGAAATGACTTCAAAAGAGGAGGATGAATACATAAAACAAAAAAGAATGTTAACGGAGGAAAGAAGAAGTTCATCATTACTGCCAGGAACTAAAGTTAGAATCATTCTTGAACATAAACCAAATGAAAAGGTAAGAAATCAGTTAAGTGATGATTATTATATCGTTGATTCCTCACAGGGTAATAGTTATTTAATTAAAGCAGCTGACCATTCAGTAGCGTTTTATCCACGATTTCGATTAGTTGAAAGCGAAAATGGAAGATTAGCTAAGACGGTTGATGAAGCGAAAAGAGGTATAGTTAATAAAATTGTGAGTTATGATGAAGACAAAGATGAATACACTGTCATTTATGAAGGAGGCGTGGATGATAAAATTCCTTCTAGAAATTTGAGAGAATCGAACCCCACACATTTATCGGAACTCGAAAAGGATTACTGGAAGGATAAAAATAAGCCAAAATTAATCAAAAAATTTTTATGAACTAAATATATTTTATGTCTGAAGTTAATGAGATAATAATGTAGCGGATGAAATACAGAAATATATTTTATTGTAAATGTTTCGTGAATTTTATATATTAATGTTTTCAGTGTCACCACGTCACCATGTCACCAGGTTAATTAACTTCTTTAAAAAATGATGACAACATGACATTTAGACAACAAGCCCGGAAATTTGATGCAGCTAAAAATAAAGTTAGTTTTACAATTATTTTTATTTTTTTATTCCTATATAAATGACAGCAACAAACAACAACAGCAACTTTATCGTTTCCGATGAAAAGTTTATTAATTCATTAGCTGAGGAATTAGTTATGGCAGAAACTAAAACTCTCAACGAAAGAATTGGTGAAAACAAGATTGATTTACATAACTACCTCAAACACGATGGAGGAAGAGGAAGGAAAACTGGTGTGGCTTTATTAGTAAATAAAATTCCAAATTTAACGATTATAGATGTTGATATCAATAAATCGTACAATGATGAACTTAAAGAAACAGTTAGAAAAGATATTTTATCAAAACTTTCGGATAAATATGTTATCGTTAAAACCGCTTCAGGAGGTCTTCACATTTATTGCAACACTAATTTCTTCTATTCAGTTTCGAACAGAATGATAAAATGTTATTCCTGCAATGATTATGATATTGATATAATGACTTCTATGGATGATTCAAAGCGTTCATTAGTGGTTATGGCTAATTCAAGAGTTCGCAAGAATGCAACAGAACCAATAAAAACATACTCATTCATTCGTGGAAGTTATGATTCAACATTAACTAGAACAGTGAATGATATATTAAATGATTTGAATATTAAGGTAAGAGTTGAACAGAAGAACGAAGAAATAAAGACTATCATGAATGAAAACAAAGATGTAAACATTGACGATAAACTAGCTCAAAGCATAGTTGATGGCATCAGTGATTTTGAAGTACATAATGACGGTGGAAACATGAATTTAGAAAAAGAAATAACATTATTTACGCTGTTTCAAGCTATTAATTCGTTACCCGATCATTTAATTAATGAAGCATACGATAACGTTTATAACTTCTGCAGTTTAACAGAAAATGCAAAAAGTAATTTTGAAAAAGCACGTAGTAGATATGCACATTTAATGACTTCTACATTTGTTTTAGTGAAAATTCTAAAACTTTATCAAAAGGAATATTATGATGAATACGTTTTACCTTTATTACGTAAGCCAAAAATAACAGAGTGTGGGACAAATTTGTCAAGTGTCACTTTTTCAATAACCTTAAATTACGCTTTTCTAATTTTTTAAAAAATAACCTTAAATTATATTTGAAGAAATTATGTCTATGATATATGTTTTATGCTAGAATCTTGGAGTTTTCATGCACTACACAAGAGCTCCAAGGTTCCAAGAGTGAATGCTCAATAGCAATTATAGAGATGTACCTTTTCAAAATGACTTTTACTGATTAAATTTAATCAATAGAAGACATTTTGAAAAGGTACCTCTACAATTAGATATACAAGAGATTCAAAGCTTCATTTCAGATAGATTTGAAACTTTGAAACTCTTGGTAGATTTTGAGTGAATGCTGACAATCATCTTTGAGAAGGTTTTCTTAAAGAAAACCTTCTCAAAGAGGTTTCTCAGGAGCCCTGAGGCTCCCTTTCGTAATGATTGGGAGCCTTGGGGCTCCTGAGACGAAGAATGGCTTCGCCGAATCTTTGATCAGCAGAGGCCAAATGAAAAGGCCTCTGCTGATGGATTCTCAGGAGCCCTGAGGCTCCCTTTCGTAATGATTGGGAGCCTTGGGGCTCCTGCAGCAGAGTATCGCTCCGCTCCATTAATTTTTTTAAAAAGTGCCGTGTGGCAAATTTGTCCTGTTCCCAAAATAACATTTGATAGAAAACTTGATGATTCATTCTTGATAACAGATATTAGACGCAAGGCTGAAAATCATCAGTATAAAAACAGTTCTGATGTAATTGAGGATTTATCACGTGTAATCCGTTTTGTAGATTGTGGAAATAAATACTTCATTCAAAAGGACTATAATATTCATGATAAAATGAATCAAATATCATTCGTTCTTCAATCAGCCATGAAAGAGTCACTCAAAATGATTAAATTATTTAAAGAAGAAGGTAAAACCATAACAGCATGGGATGTACTACTAAATCAATTATCCTCATTAACCGTTAAGGGTGTTTGCTTTAAATCTGATTCCACAGATGTTTTCTCAACGTTTCAGGGTTATAAATACAACGTTCTCGAAAAAGTAGATTACTCAAAAATTGAGATGTTCATGAATTTCATTAAAGAAGCCATTTGTGATTATAACGATGAAGTGTATAAATACCTACTCGGATGGATTGCATCAATGATTCAACATCCTGGAATCAAGAATGAGACTGCAATTATTTTGAAAGGACTTCAGGGAACAGGTAAAAACAGATTTACAGACATTATTTCTGAACTTCTCGCAGGTTATTCATGTAAAAACATTACTGAAATAAGTGAGCTAACGGGTAATTTCAATTCAGTTGTTGAAAATAAAATGTTTCTTGTACTTAATGAACTCAAGAATGTAGGTGAAGACAGACTTGCAAACTTCAACGCTTTGAAATCAATTATTACGGATAATGAGATTAGAATTAATGAAAAGAATCAACCCAGAAGAACTGCTCAGAATGTTGCCAATTTCATTTTCGTAACTAACAACGTCTACCCTGTCAAAATTGAAGTTGGAGACAGAAGATATGTAGTTTTAAGGGTTAATGGTAAGTTCAAGAGTCAATTTGATTACTTCAAGAATTTAATGAATTCATGCACAAAGGAATTTTATGATAACCTTTTAACATATTTTATCAATTACGACCTTTCATCATTTAATGTACGAATCATACCGATGACTGAAGCCAAACAAGATTTAATAGAATTATCAACAAATCCTTTAGATGAATGGATAAATACACATTATGATGAATTGTGTGCAGGTATGACGTGTAAAAATGCTCTATTCTGCAAACCATCAGACATGAAAGACAAAAACTTTCAAATGAGCATTAAGGATAAATGTGAAAGGAAACAGAGAAGAATAAATGGTAAACAGACGTGGTGTTATGTTTTGAAAGAAGAAATGAAAGGATTATATAAACAGGTTGAACCAAACGATAATGATGATTCATTTACTGACGATGAAATACCTGTAAATGATGCAGTATAAAGTATGATTGGAATTTATTTTTGCATTCAACCCATGCTGTTGTCTAAATGTCATGTTGTCACACTTTTTAAAAGAAGTTAATTAACCTGGTGACACATGGTGATGTGGTGACACTTTCAGTTCTTCAAAAATAAATTTTCTTATAAATCCTCAGAATCACTTTCCTCAGGGTCACTTTCCTCAACTATGGGCTCCGCGTTGCGGCTTTCCATACCTTCTTCATCAAATTCAATCGTTGCTTCCTCAATTACTGGTAGGATTTTATGGAGTGTATCTTTATTCGTTATCATCTTCAGAGATGAAGGATAATATTTAACGACATTTTCTCCTTTCTTGAATTCTTTCTGCTGCGTTAAATCTAAAACAATGCTGAAAAATTCAACGTTGAGTTCTTCATAATCGTATAATGAGAATCTTTAATATTTACATATATTCCTTTCTGTTTAAGTAATACTGCTATTTCATGTGGTGTGTAACGTTTTCTGTCAAT